CAGCGGCACAATGTGATCCACCAGCAAGGAGGGATGCCAATAAGGTGTCCGATAAGATAAGTCTTATAAAATATATAGGTTTATTATAATAGTTAAGACTGAGCCAACAGATGAGAATCCTAGTCATTGGCCAAGCAGCATTGTACCTAATACAAGTTTCTGTGTATTCATTTGGGCCTTAACTTAGGTGGGCGGCTGGCATAAAGCTCACATGTGGCGGTGGGGCTCAGGTGGCTTTTGGCAGAAAGATTTATCGTAACACAGAAATCTGGAGGCAGGAATTGATGCAGAAGCCATGGACTATTGACTGGCTCCCTCATGGCTTGCTCAGCCTTAGAGCACCCAAGGGCTGGGCCATTCCATATCAATTTTTAATCAAGAAAATGGCCCATGAGCTTGCCTACAGTCCAGTATGGTAGAGGCATCTTTACAGTTGAGATTCCCTCTTCCCAGGTGACTCTAACTTGTGTCAAGGTGACAAAGAACAGCACAGTGTCCTAGGACCTTGGTTTCACCTGTAACACTTTTGGGAATCAATCACCCCTCAATTGCTGCAGGAGAGGCCCCTGCACTTTTTCTCCAGCCATGCCCACTCATCTCAACCAAAGTGCTCTGTGATAAATCATGGAAATGTCCTCAGGAGAGCCACAGTCTCATTTATGTTGAGAGAAACTCAGGGAAGCTGCCCTCTGTTCCATTCTGGGTGGAAGGAGAGACAACCTGGACAGGTTCCATGGGTGGCTGCCAGAACAAAAAAGTCAGTTGGGTGGTGAGAAAAGCCTTGGCCCAGGAGTGCCAACCCCTGGCACTGATATTATGGGGCTCCTCTATCCTGGGAAGTTCCCTAACTTCGTGGGCCCAAGGCACCAGGGGAAGAAGTAAGAGCCTAGGAAGAAATGCCCTTGTTCCCCCAGATCACTGGGATTCATGATAGGAGCATGGCTGTGGCAGTAGCAGTGCCAATTTTCAGGCACCCGTGGAGGCCTTAAGCCTTATGTGCCTCATTCTGGGGAACACGTGAGCTGACAGCTCCCTTGCAGTCAAGAGTCCTAGAGGTGAAGTGGGCTTCTGTATGTCTGGGAGAGATCTGGAATCAGAGCCTTAAACTGACCCCTGGTGGGAAATGCTACATAAAATGTGGCCCACAGTGAGTTCTACAGGACTGTCATGAGACTCTGAGGAGCAGAGGGCCAGAGATGCTTCCAGGAGACTTTCTTCTGGGCTGAAACTCTGTTAAGTTCAACTATGAGGAGAAACAAAACAAAACACAAAATAGCTGTACCCACTCACACAGGAAGAATTTCTCAGCTCTGTCTCTGTCTGTCTGTCTGTCTCTGTCTGTCTGTCCAGAACATGGACTGCACACCTGCTATTCGATAGGCTATGGCCTCTAGAATGGTGAATGAAGCGTGAACAGGAACAAGTAGCCTTGTTTTCTTTGTGCATTCAGTGACCTGCTTGGTGTCTGAGGAAGGAACCACAGCTGAGCAATCAGAGTCAGGTAGAATGTGGGCAGGATAAAACTGTGTGCACCAAGCACAGGACCATCTGTGGGGTTCAGGACCCTCAACTGGGCAAAATGTAGGGATCTCCTAGAGTGGATGGACTGTGGGATCTGTTATGGTTTCTATCTGAAATGTCCTCCAAAGGCTGTGTGCTGTAGGCTTGGTGACCAACCAGGGTCCCACGGGGAGGTAGTGTTGTCTTTGGGAGGGAAATCCAGTTGAAGTAAGTCAATAAAGCTGTACCTCAAAGGGGACCACAGTGCCTAGCTGTGAGGTGAGCAGCTCTGCTCTAGGATGTGCTCCACCACGATATTCTGCCTTGCCACAGACCCAAAGCAATGGATCAACTAACCATAGACTGTGACCTCTGATACTATGGGGAGTAAGCCTTTCCTCCTTCAAGTCACTTCAGGGTTTTGTCATGATGACATGGAGCTAATACAGCTCCACTGTGAAAGACAGGATAGAGAGCCAATCATATCATCTCCAAAGCAAAGCTATAGCTGGGACTCAGGTGGCTATTCTGTAATGCACTATGCATCACGGGGATGTACTCCCTTGCATGAGCAGTATCTAACACCTGGCCCTCCTGTACCCTACAGTCATGTCCGTAAGAAACCAAGACACACTGGACATGGGTTTTGATAGCATGGCACTTAGAGATTTTGTGTGTGATGAGGTCTGAGGAGGAGGCAGGAGACCAACAAATCTAAACCTAGAAAGCTGATAGCTGCTCAGAGGAATGTTCAAATTCTTTAGCTCAAACTCAGTTCTGTGTTGAACAGCTGGGTAAGCAAGGGAAGGAAAAAGGTTAACAAATGGCATTCTTGGTCCCTGATGTAGTATGCTGAAGAAATTTAGGTATACATACCCAACACAGACTGGCTTCAGACACTGGCCAGGGAAGCAAAGCTGCCGGAGGGGACGCAAGCAGCTCCATCCATCAGTGGAGGAGTTTGCCCATCCTTTCTGTTACTTTGGAGACATACTCACAGCCAGGTATTTGGAAAAATAAAGTGGGACTATATCCCTTGGATGGAGGAGCCTCATTACAGAAAAGAAAAAATAGTTACAGTTAGGAAGCGAGACTAGTTTATCAACTGTTCTGGTCAAACACGAAGGCAGGTCTCAGGTGTTTACATCCTCCTCCTCACTAACACAAGATCACCCTTGTGAAAGTAAAGAAAAGCATGGTTTCCAACTGAATCTGAGCAGGAAACACACAAAGCAGACAGGCACAGATGCTCATGCATCTAGTCTTAATGTGTACATACCTGTGGTATCAGCTCAGTCTAACAACTGAGAGCTCTAGCAACCTAATTCCACAGGCACCTTGGAATAGGGGTGGGAGGTAAGGAAATCAAGTATCCCCAAACTCTCCAGTGCTGCTCCTACCATCCCAGCAGGAGAGTTCCCCTTCACTATCACCAACATCACTGGTGATTTTCAAAGCACAGAGGACACCAATGCCACAGCTCAGAGCAGAGTACAGATTTACTGACCCACCCATTGCTGGTACCGCTAAGCAAAGGAAAGAGTATGGAATAGGATAGAATAAGCAATGGAACATCATTACATCCCTACCTTACTATGCATTTTCAGTTCCCAAAAGGTTATTAAAAAAAAAAAAAGGCTACACAATCTATTCTGCAAAGGCATGTAGCAACAAAACTTGTACTCACTGTAAAATCTGTTTGCTTTCAGTTAACCAGAATTTGATGAAAAACCGCCCTCAGGGCAGTTTGGATTAAAGCCAGCTACAAATGGCAACCTTCTGAGAATCAATATTAACCAGCTAACTGTGGAGACTCAGGCAGTAGGCACAAATCACCCAAGAATGTAGAATCCAATTATTTTAAAGATTTACAGGAAAATACTTAGGATCCCCCAAAGTCTGTCTCTGAAAGGAATCTTTAAAACATTAGACACTAACTTTCCTTTCTTCTCTAGAATCTGAACCTCAATTTAGTTTCCAGCCCCAGAGAAAAGTCCCCAGTGGTCAGCTGGAGTCCTCACGGGGGACACTGAAGAGCAGGCTAAAAAAAATCACGAAAATAGTGCATGCCTTTAATCCCAGCACTCTGGAGGCAAAGGCAGGTGGATCTCTGTGAGTTTGAGGCCAGCCTGGTCTCCAGAGTGAGTGCCAGGATAGCCTCCAAAGCTACACAAAGAAAACCGGCCCCCCCCAAAAAAATCACGAAAATATTAAATGCCATAAAGTGCTAAAGCTACAACAAGGAAAACTTACTTGAATTTTTTGACTTGTTTCTTGGGAAACTGTCTCACTATGCTACTCCAGGGCTCAGCTTCCCAAACAGAGAATACAGTGATGATAGATACATACCACCACACCTGGATTAACATCTATTTTTAAAGAACACTTAAAAAGGGTATGCCCTGGCATTATTTGAGTCATTAATGCATTTCACAACTACCCCACCACCACCACCAATCAGATATTAGAAATTAACAAACTGACTTTGGACTTCTATAAAGGTTAATGGATAGGATTTATAAAGAAATCTGAAGGAATGAAAGCTACTTATTTTGTACTAAGAAAATGCACCAATTTCTCTTTCTTTTTTTTTCTCTCTCTCTTTTTCTCTCTCTCTCACTCTCTCATACACACACAGACACACACACCCATGAGAGCTCAACTAGTCAATTACAGGGAACACAGGCCAGCTTCAGGGGCTGCCTTCCAGCCACCAGGCCTGGGAAAGTGGTGTTCAGGCCTCTGTCCAAAGGACAGGGCCCATCTTACCATCTCAGTCACCACTTTCATTAGCGCCATCACGGGCTACATGTAGGTTCAGGTGGTAAGCGACTGAGTACCAGGCAATCTTTTCAAAGAGAAGGACACATTCTGAAACAGAAAAGCAGAACACACACAGCCCTGGTCAGCAGTACATCTGGCAGAACCACAGATGTATGAAACTAGTTTTAAAGGGAGAATTTGCTTAGCAACCTGGAAATGCTAACTCTGGGATGTAAGGATAGATTAGCTGATTACCCTGAGTAGGAAAAACATGTTTAGGTACTCAATCCTCCCCACATAAAGAAAACAATTCAGTAACAAGTTCTCAGGTTAACAAAGAATATATTAAAACAGTTTACATTCTTTTCACAACTGCAAAATAAAAAAAAGCAGGCATCTTAAATAATTACAAGAAACAATGTGCTTTCTATACTAGCAAAAATTAATTACAATCAGGAAAACATTTACAAGAATATCTTTACTATCTAAAGATTTACAATGATGAAAGACCTATTTATTGAACACCAAATGTCTGCCTGCTGGCTGAGATAAACATTCTCTAAAAAAACTGTTTACTGAGTACAGTGATTAATGTCTTTCATTATTTTGTTTCTTAGCATTTAAAATAGTTACATGAGTGGAAGGATAGTTTCTGACACCAAAATAAACTCTTTCAGCCTGACATCTTTTAATATACAGTATAAAAAGCAATAGAAAAGCCACAACTGCATTATAAATGTTTTTGGTTCAAATTTTTATTTGAAATCTTATGTTTTATTCCTAGACAAAAAAGGTGACAAACACTGGTAATTTGTAAAACCTAACAGATATGAAGACCCTACATTGAGATCAAAAATAGTTTTTTCTTTTTTTTTTCTGCAACAATATTATTTTATAAATATTCGAAAATGTAGCATAGGTTCAAGTCCTTGGGCACTGAGCTAGCAATGCCAGGTTTGGAGATTATCGCTCTGTATCTACATAGGAGATGACCATGCAGGGAGATGGTCTTGAAAAAAGTGACACTCCAAGGTGTTTAGAGGGAGAGACTAGATACTCACCACAGGGAATGAGTTCAGTGGACAGCTACCTAGCCTGGCACTAGCTTCATTCATTAAAAGGTGGGCGCTTTCAGTTCATCTCTAAAATGCATAGTTCAAAAAAGCAGATGGCAAGAATCAGTAGCTGCAGCCTAATTTTATTTCCCTTCTCTGAAAATTTAAGGAACAAAATAGGAAATGCAGACATATTAATGGATTTTCAATAGCCTTTTCAAGTGAAAGAATAAAGGTCAAAATTCTACATATAGCTTCCATAATTACAAAGCCAATTAGTATTTTATAAAAAAAAAAATCTTTGCTTCAACATAAAGACTGCCTTTGCTACCATGGGTGTAGAATGCTGGTGAGCAGACGGGTGGTGTCTCTGCTAGAGCACACCTTGAAAATGTGAAGAAACAGCTTGTGGCAAAACTAAACAGGGAGTTTGTGCTCCCCTAATTTTCTTTCCAGGTGTGACCCTCCCTAGGTCATGCAATTCTGCCTTTTGAAATACTCCACTGAACTTTGGATATTGCCTACCGAGGAGAGGCTTTTACTTAGAACCTATGTAGAAACAGGAAAAAAAAAAAAAATAGAATCCCAAACCCTAAGTAACAAATCAAGTTGCAAAAACTAATTTTGGACCTTTGCTAGAGCTTTAATATACCTTTGCATGTCAGATAGTGACATTTTCACTGTTATCCACTTCAACACCCCCACAGAAGTCCTCACATAAGACAGACAGAAGTGTGTATGTTGTGCACACCGTTCTTGGAAAGCGCATGAAAGCTGCAACGAGGCACTTCCTCCAGTCTCTGAAGCCCCTAGAAGGAATGGTGGTCTAGGATGTGGTGAGGCTGTGTCTGCTAACCTCATGCTGGCACTGCTTATCCCAATGACACCTGAGTTTCAAGCTGGCAGAGACCAAACACTGTGGGCTCTGGAGTGCCAGTTGAAAGCTGTTATGATGTGGAAGGCGTACCACAGAGTTCAGTGGCTTTCACAACTTATCTGTTGATACTGACTGTTGAGCACTCCACAAACATGTTTCTTTCCACTTCTGTCTTCCTTAGCACATGGCCATCACTGATTATACGAAGTGATTAATAGCTCGTTGTTTGATTAAAAAATCTAAGTGTGACTATTGCTGATTTAAATTCTCACAATTTTCATACAAAAAGAAAGTTTCATAGGACCATAAAATACCAAATATTTGTCTTATCAAGTGTCAGGATAATTTATTAAAGTTGGATTTGTTTTTTCTTATTGCTAAGGTATTCTAAAATCTAACTCAATACTGCAAGTGACTCCCTTTTTTCCTCATGTTTTTGGCCTGACAAACATGGCTAAGGGTTACCTCAAACTTAGGTGTCTGAAATAATAATAAATTTAAAAAAACCCCAAACCAAAAACCCAACAATACCCTAATATCCCACTACCCAGAAAACAAAAACCTCAATCAAGTAATTATTGTGACGCCTTGGAATGAGGAACCATGCAATTCACCAACATTAACTCAACTTCAACAGTAACAGAATCAAACCCCTGCTTGCTGAGGTCCAAAACCAGTATATTTCTGAGTTTGTTTCTGAAGCTGTAAGGACATTCCTAGCCAATATCAATTTATCCCAAACCTAAAATTCAAACATAACAATTTCCAACCTTTATTATTTTTTAAAAAAAATGTTGTCTTAGGACACAGTTCACAAGTCAAGGGCCTGCTGTTTTGTGACAGGTGAGAGGGGTAGGTCATTTAATTGTGTGTCTGCTCGTGACTCCAAAGACTAAAGGCGGTCTTGAATGTCCTATGGCAGAGTTTGCACATAAACTGTCTTTTGAATGTGATTGCTGAAAGGGGAGGGGCGTGGTAGAAGAGGGTATCTGACTCCTGGGGGGCAAACAGCTTCTCTGTGGCTGGGGTCGGGTTCTCAGGAAGGCCTGTGGGGCTGTCGGGCTCCAGGGGCTGGATCTTGGGCAAGGGTGGTGGAGGTGGCAGAGGTGGTGGTGAGGGGGAATTTGTGGGCACAGGACACACCTCAGCCTCTTTCTGTGCAGGCTCATCTGTGGCCTGAGACATGTGGGACTGGAAATGACTCCAGAGCCGGAAGTTGGTACGGAAGGCTTTGTGGCACACGTGGCAGATGAAGGGCTTCACGGAACACAGCAGCTCCTGGTGTCGCTCCAGCTGCTTGTGTGCCGTGAACATCTTTCCACATTTCTCGCAGGGCCACAGACCAGCCTCCTTGCTGGGACCAGCCTCCCTGGGAGCTGCACTGGCCTCAGGAGCCTCCTCCTCAGCCTCCTCCACAGGCTCCTCTTTGACTTGGACTTTCAGTTGCTTTGAAAGACTCAAGTCTTCAGGGAGGCAGGAGGAATCCTCAGAATCGAAGTTCACTTGCTCTGAAGAGTCACTAAACACTGTGTCCTCTTTTGGAGCAACCACGTGGTTTACCTTGCTAGGCTCAGCCTGAGGCCTGGAAGCAGCTGCCACTTCACCGTTGTGGTCCAGGGTGGGCAGGGAGAGGTTCTCTGCTGAAGCCATGTTGTTCTGGTTGTGCACTTCCACCTGGTGCCGCCAGATGCTGAAGGAAGACTTGAAGGTGCGCATGCACTCCAGGCAGGTCAGCTTTTTGTACTCACACCTGTCCTCATGCTCCTGCTTCAGCGCCGGGGAGAAGAACCTGAGGCTGCAGTAAGGACAAACGGTGGCGTTCCGGCACAAGCGCTCGTGGTTGCCTTGCTCTAGAAGAGAAGAGAGCTTAGCATTACAGAGGCGGCACGGGTAAACCTCCTTGCTCTCTACCGCGCGTGCCAGAGCCCGCTCTTTCGGCTTAGCAGCTCTGCTCACTCCGAGGGGCCTCTCTCCCGGGTGCATCTTTATGTGCTGCTTAAACTGAGAGAGAAAGCGGTATGCCTTGCCACAGTAGGCACAAATGTAGGCCCCTTTGGCTCGGGAGCGCAAGTTCCTCTTGATGACTTGCTGTGCTGGGGAACTACTCTGTCCCTGGAAGCCAGGCTTGCTGCGCCTCAGCTTAATGATCAGGGCCTTCTTAATCTCCCTCTCTCTCACTATGTCAATCAGTTTTCTTTGGAATTTCTCATCCAAAACTGCATGGGAACTAGAGGCTGGCGATGGGTTCTTCACTATGCCGTGTTGGGTCTGACAGTGTGTCCACACCTTGAAGTTGGTATGAAACCTCTTGTGACAGATGTCACAAGCGTAAGGCTTCTCTGGGTTATGGTACATGTTAACATGGCGGTGAAGACCCGCGGTTGATCTAAAAATCTTAAGGCAATGTTTGCATTTAAATTTTTTGTTTGGTCTCGTCCCCTCCAACTCACCAAACTCCTCTCTGTTTAATTCAGAATCTGGGAAGTTGCTGTCAAGGGAAGGAGGGCTCCTGCCCGCCTCACAGTTCTCTTCTGAGACAGAAGGCCCAAGCTCATTTGCCCTTGCCTTCTTCAAGGGTGACCTTCTGTCTGCCTGGAACCTTCTCTTTGCTGGGAGTCTGCTTATGTCCCTCTGGTCTTCCTCTGTTTTGAGGGGCAGGTCTCTCGTAGTTGTTGCTGCATCTCCCACGGTGACCCGGATGATGTCTGAGGGGTCCGAAAGAGGGCTGCTAGGCTCAGTCTTAATGCGCACCTCAGTCATAGGGGAGGTCCCCTCCCTGTCTGTCGACTGTGAAGCACTAAAGGACCTGAGGCGATGAGGCTGTAGTACTTGAGGCCTGTCATCCAGGGCTTTTTTTTCACTGCCATCTTTTAAAGATGACTTCTGAGACATTGCACAGAACACACTGCCTGGTGCCTCATTTGCTGCTGTGGATGATCCCTGGGATGACTTCAAGTCTATGGAGGGGGAGTAGACAGGAACCTGGCTGTCCATAGACAGTGAACGCCTGAGGAGGCTTTTCACTAATGGGCCACTTCTGTCAATGCTCTGATTTGCAGAAGCAGGCCCGCTGGATGGAACCACCAGGCCTAGTTTAGAGTAGTAGAGCAAGTTCCTATCCTCCCCCTGACTGCCTCCTTTGCTAGTTTCTTTTAAGAGATATGGAGTCTCTGATGAGCTACGAAGAGACAGAACAGGTGGCCGTGGTCTCTTCAGAGCCAGCTCTATAGCTTTCCCCTTGGGTAGCTGGCTGCTTACCCCTGGCTTATCGTCCGTGGCCTCCCTGTCTTGTGAAGGCTTTGGGGGTAGGACTGCATTTCTCTTAACCAAACTGCCCCTGTTAGGATCATCCAAAGCCCCAGGCTGTTCCAGAGACTGTGCATATATGGTAGCACTATCCTTCGGCCAATTCTTTTCAGCTAAAGACAGACTGTGAAGCTGTTCTGGCGGCTTGGCCACAGGTGGCTTATTGGTGCTGGTCTTGACTGCACCACTTGGCGAGACCAGGGCAGCATGGCTCAGGTCCTGCACAGCCGGCCCACTGGCTTTCCCTGGCACTTCACTTCTGCCCTGACACACGATGACACTTCGTTTCTGAGAGCTGGTCTCATCATCTTCTGTAGACACTCTTTTCCTGTTGGGACAGGCTGGGAAAGGAGCCTGAGGGGCTTTGGCAACGATGTTGGTCAAGAAGGAGATACCAAGGCTATACCCCAGCTCCTGCACAGCAGCAAGGCTGCCCTTCTCCACAAAAAGGGAGGAAGAGTAAATGTAGTTCAGAACGTTGTCAAAAGCATCAGGCTCACAGAAGTCCAGCTGAAAGACAGTCTGTGACTCGTTCTCCTTATTCGTGAATAAACTCTGGAAGTACTCACTGCTGGCAGCCAAGACGTTCTTATGAGCTCGGAACTTCTGGTCCCCAACAATCAGGAGTACATCACACAGCTGTCCCTTGAGGCGCTCCTCATTGAGGGCGCTGAGCAGAGAGATGGCGTGTGCTGGGTTGATGTAATGCAGTAGCCCCTCCATCCTGCAGTTTATCTGGAAGACAGTGAGACCATCAGTACGTGTAGTAGTCCACCAGAGGCCTGCTCAAACGTAACAGGTATACACAGCGGTGACACTTGAAAATGAGGTTTAACATTTAGGGTCCTTACCCATCTGATGCTTGGTTACATTTAGTTTTATTCGGGGAATAAACTAAATTTGAATTGTCAAAATTCCTCAAGTCGATATTTCTACCTCAGTTTTATGACTATCATATATTTTGTTTTATAAGATATATATTTAAATGCAACATCACTGCTAATGATTAATGATGGATTGTAGACTTTTAAAATGAACTTGGAAAGGGAATAATTACTTGCTAATTACTAGGTCAAAGTGTTTAATGAAGGTTAGAAGCATTAGAGAACTAAAAGGTTGTTTTCCTTCTTACACTAATTGCTTGTGATTTTTTAAATGCTATTTTCTCCCTACATATCATTTTCAACAGCACAGAGAACTTTAGCCTAGCTGTAAAACTGATTAAAGAGTCTGAACTGAAGGGTCATTGAAATTCTGTTCCCACCTAAAAGTGAGAGAAGGCAACTTGGTGGGTGAGTGTGAGTTTTGGGGCTAGATACTTGGTTGAGGTGCTAGCTTCTACCCTGTAAGCTGATGCCCTCTGTACACAGGTCTGTGTGTGAAGCAGGGTAATAACTGTGCCCTCCTGCAAGTGTCTGACAAAGATCAGATGTGCAAACATCTACAGCAAACACTATAAATGTGCAGCTATCAGTACTGCAAGAATAGGTTCAACTAGATTACCACCCTCTTCCTGGTGCTCTAGGAAAAAGCAGGTTTCTCATGGGACATGATACATGGGCTCTGCTCTATGAGTACCTCCTCTCTGTGGTCTAGTTCTATATCACTAACTTTTATTAGCAGTATTGTCATGGAGGTGGGGGGGGGATGTAACTTAGTGGTAGAGTATTTGCCTAGCACATGTAAGGCCCTGAATCCCATCACTAGCACCACAGGGTTGGGGAGGGAGGAACAGAGAGAGAGAGAGAGAGAGAGAGAGAGAGAGAGAGAGAGAGAGAGAATGTATGTGTATGTGTGAGAAAGAGAGAGACAGAGACACATACAGAAAGAGACAGACATTGATTCTTACTATTAGAATCCATGGTGACTACATACATCTTTGACAGGCTTATTCTAGAGGGAATGCTGCCAAGAACCACACCCAGCCCCAGATGTAAGTCAACAAGTCCCGAGCTCCCAGCTATCCAGGGTCAGCCTTTACTAGTCACTTGGAGATTAGGCTCTTCAGTTTTCAGAGAGAACAGAATGCACAATGCAGACAGGGGTGTGGCTTTGCCACTAGAGATGAATCCAGCACCCATCAGGTTTCCCTTCCTTCCTGCCTGCTTTTCTTTAACACTGACATGTAGCTCATTTACTTGTAACAAGGGCTTGGATGAAATCCTTTTCTTCTGCCAGCCATTTCCATTTATTCCTCACTACTAGTTCACTGTAAGAACCACACATCTGTGTAAAGACACTTCTCATTTTTTACAGGGGTCAGCAGAAAAGCATTAGGCTTAGATTGCCACAAGACTGACTCAGCCATGCCCTGGCAGTCTGTAGCACTGAGAATCTCTGAAGATTGTTGACATAAGGGAAACAGCAGGCAAGAAGCAAAGGTTGGGTCTGTCCACGGGGCAGATGTTTGTCAAGTGTTTTTTTTTTTTAAACTCATTTTAATGGTTTGAAACAAGCAATTAAGATCAGATAAAGCACTAAGACAGAAAACGTCAGAAAGTACTAAATGCGGCAAGGGCTTGCGAAACCAGTTTCAGTTACAGAGAGAGATATACCCTGTGTGCAAGTGTGCATCCAATTGAGTTGTAAAAGAATTTTTTTTCTGGGCTAGTTTCACCTGTTTTCTGGGCTAGTCAATCACTCTTAAGTCCGAGTCTGTCCCCTGCACAGCAAACAGAGATAGTAACAGTTTTCACACAATGCTGCTGAGGGGCAGATGGGATGATTATACCATCACTCAGTACCTACAAATAGTGCCATCCATCCATCCATCCATCCATCCATCCATCCATCCATCCAGTCATGGAAGTACATTTGAGAAGACTCAATAGAGCAGGGCATGAGCCTGGGGATTATGAAGCAAAGACAACACAACAGAGGAAAGAACCAAGGTCAAGCAGAACTGGAGCCAAAAGGGCTGGGAATCGTGGACAATATCATCTCAAGAGTCAGACTGTAAGGATGGGTGGCTAGGAGAGGATTTTACTATGTGGAAAATGGAGGGCCACTGGAGGACAATGGGGAAGAAGCCTAAGTTATGTCTTAATTATAACATTTCTGGCTTTATTGTAGACAGTAGATAACAGGCAAAGGACATAGGAGACATCTACTGCCACAATGGCTTGACAGGGGGTGGTACTGGATGTAAAGAGAAAGCCATTAGATTTTCTAATGGAATAACTACAGAGCAATGGAAGAAGAATCAAGAATCCTGCCAGGAATGGAAAAGGAAAAGGAAAAGGATGGCCTTTGTTGAGATGAATTTGGCAGAGAAATCAGGCTGCTTCCCTCCCTGCCTCTCCTTTTCTAGGGGATTCAGTCTGACACTCTACAGGCAAGTGACAACTTCTCAATCTTGCCTTTGCATCTTTCTTATTTCCTTTTCTGAGCTCCCTGGAATCTCTGCCCAAACAAACATCTATTAGATAACGTTGTTTTAGACTCTACTTTTGAGCAAAAAACCAAGACACCAAAACAACCTAAAACCACAGGTGCAAGCTAGCATCCACCCAGAATGTGCTAAAACTGTACTAACCACAGAAGATATAAAAAAGACAAGCAAGGCCTAGCTCCTGGAGTTTAGTATTGCATAGGAATAGCACACAGCAATCCATTGACACTGTACAGTTATGCAGATGCAAAGAAATGTCTACGGAAATCATAGGAGATGCAGTACAGGTGACAGCCACCAGATCCAGGTGAGAGGCAGTCAGATGATGGATCAAAGCATGGGGAAGAGACAGGCAGGAATGGTAAGGTGACCCAAAAAGGGACAGGGGCAGTGTGTGCAGCACTACAAACAAGAGAGAACAAAAGTCACCCTGGGAACTGTCATGATGCTGATCTAGATGAAAGGGCTCTCTCTGGGAACCAAAATGAAGACACTGGAAATTGAAAGAAGAGTGGCACCTGTTCCTACAGTCTCTAGAGAGACTGAAGAGAAGACCAGGTAGTGTGGATTCACCTTCACTTATGGGTTGCTTTTACACTCTAATTCAATTATAAGGACTTAAAAGCAGTGATCCCAGCCCTGGTCCACCTGAAAACAAGGACTATTTGAATCCTTACATTTTGATTACGGCAGGTATAACTGCTTACTGCGTTTAGCAACTAAAGCATAAACACTGTCTTGAGAAAGCAAGCAAAGGGGAAAACAGAGCTTCTGAGCCTGGCAATCCAGCACACTATGGCTGGGGAAGTGTAGATGAACCCTCTGGACCTGACCTGTGAACATCTCAGCGACTTAATCTTCAAAGCAGCAGTTATGCTGCTGTGTATACTTTCTCAATGGATGTTAAGGTATAGCAGACTCATTTTCCTGCATGAGTTAACTGTGATTCACAGCAGCAACAAATCTCATGTACAAACCACACAGCCATTACTGTCCCTGGTCTGCCCATCTCCACCTGACTCATTAATGCAGAAATCCCATCACTTAACAATGGCAGAAGAACCTGAAAGGTGCTCAAGTATGGGAGAAAAGCCCATTGAAGAACAGAAGCAGCTGAGATGAACTCCCGTAGAAAACCAGATTCTGAAACAAACTGGCCCCCCACCCCCATCACTTAGATCTCCCTACAAATAACTTTCCAAACTGCCTGAGATGGTTCTACTTAATGTTGTTTCCTGGAGATTCAAAGCGGGGGAGAACGGAGAGAATTATTACAGCAAAAGTTCATGGTAGCTAGCTATCCATGGAGAAGCCTTTGGTCTATTGCCATCTACCAGGAACGCAGTATTATCAGGACTGCTCATCCTTTCTGAGCAGTAGTATCCTTGCCTATTCAGTGGAAATCTCATGAGGCATAAACAAAACAATCTTTGAAAGGTCCAGTCTGCAGAGCAAATCCCACCTGGCAAGTACACATCTTCCTTCTCTCTTCCTCTCTTGAGTGTTTGTGAGCCCGCTGTACACTGTGCATCATAAGAGGTGCTGATGGTGGGAGGTGAACTCGCTGGCTGGCTTCCTGTTCTCCTGCACCTCACATTCCTGTGACTGGGCAGACAACAATGTGATAAAGAAGGCACAGAATATGGAAGAACACTCATGTCACGAGGCTATCAATGTGGCCAGGAGGTGGGAGGGTGGATGAGTGAATGACTGGGGGGGCATCAGGGAAGACCTGGGACTCATTTGATATTGAAGTTAAAGCCAAAGGCTCAGAACTTCCAAGAATGTTATCTGAGTGGCCCAGGCTTAAAATCTTTTGAAGCTTGCCCTGGCCTCAAGTCAACGAAGGACCCTAAAGCCCCTGACAGCTAGACTCAATGAAATTACCTCTTGCAGTCACACAAATGCCTCTGCTACACTAGATGCTGAGGTGAGACACCTGTATCTTAATATAAATTAATTCAACCCAAGTATTTCCATTCTTACGTTACATGGAATGAGGACTTTGGGTTTTAAGGAAGGTAGGTAATTTTGGAACAGAGTATTCTGGGGACTGATGCATCAGAAAGGGAAGTACACAGTCAGAAACTCAACGGGTACTACAAACAGAGGGTGAGGAGATGGAGAGGATTCAAAACCATTTCCCCTATTTCAATTTAAGAGACTGGTTCCACAGTTAAAAATCATTACAAATGAGCTAGGCTCTGGGACTATTCCAAAAGCTCACACTCACAGCACTGTGGGAAATGTCCCTTTACCAACCTAAGGCTAAGTCCTGGGAACACCACCCCCTTGCAATGTTAGAGAGTGCACACAAAAACCTAACATGATCCTGAACTCTAGGGATGCTGGTGACACAGGTGAACATCCAACACTTGACTACATACACAAAGCTGATCCCCAAGCCCTCACTTCTGGATTCAGCCCTCTCTCTCCACTTGATTTTACTACATGGTGACAGGAAGTTGGCTCTGAGCTTCAATTTTTATCATCACTCACCTGGTAACATTGCAGATATCCACAAATTATCTGAAGTGCCTCAGGTTTCAAAGCCAGACTTGCTTAGGGGATCCTTCATGGTGTCAAGTTACTGTACTCCACTTCAACACATTTCAGCCTCCCTCTCTCTAGTTCAAATATGGTTGAAGGGCAGATTGTCAGCCTCAGTCAGGTGGATGGCTCCACTGTAACACAGTTTAAACTCTTAGCTATACTGTAGACAAGCAGCCTCTGCTGGTCTGTTCTGGCCACCCAGCAGCTATTACTCCTTCTGCAGAGACCCTCTGTGTTGCTTTGGGGGAACACTTTGCCTAGCAAGTGTAAGCTGATGGTTGTAGACACACACCAAATGCCAGGCCAAGTAGAAACTTTCTCCCTGGACTATGGTTTATGACAAGACAAAGGCAATAGCTGATTGGAACTGACTAATTGATCTCAGTGTGGTCTGAAAATTCAATGTGCCAGTGCCTGAATTCCTGCAAGTGGTATGGTTCTTCCTTCATGGTCCACGGCTTTTTTGTTTTGTTTTGCTTTTAAGATTTTCCTCAAACTTCAAGAATAATCTTTTTTTTTTTCCAATAAATTCCCTTTTCAGTCAGTCAGTTTCTGTTCTGCATATTTCTGTATGCTGCCTGCTCCTGTCCTGCCTTTCATGCTCATCCTTCAAAGGCTAGATTCCTCAAGCAAGGCTTTCATTAGTGTCCAGCACACAATCTTGTCCTCAAATGCAGCTTGCTCACTGGCTCTCTCCATGTGCAAGGCATGATTAAATGTATCTGAATACATAGGTACTCAACAAATAAAGTCCCACTGTCTAGAGATAAGGAAATCCCAAAAGTCAATTTTAATGTGCTAAATGTCTTGATGGAGAGAGAAATGTGATGGCTGGTGTAGTCCTCAGAAGTACAGAGGGAGCTCAGGAACTGTCTTGATGTAATATTTTGTTAAGATGAAAAGACTGAATAATGTTATAGTCTCATTTGTCCTAGTTAAAACAAAACAGGCTAAAATACAAAATCTTTAATAAATGGCCTTCAAGCCTCTATAGACATCTGTATTCAGACTACTTTTAAAATCCTTTAGTTACCTATTTTGGTTTTTCCCTGTTTCTGTCCCAGAGACACAATCTGTCCACCTAACCTCCTCTGCCACTCAACCTGAACCATCCTAGATTGTGCCAAACCCCTTCTCCAGTCAGCTCAAGTTCTAATCCTTTGGGAATACTTTATGGCTGAACATTCCCAGCCAACATCACCAGTTTGTATATTGAAGTCCTAACCTCTGCACCTCAAAAGGCAATCATATTTGGTGCTGCAGTCTTTACACAGCTAATTAAACTAAACTGAGCATTAGTCCAATAAAACTGTGCATTAGTCCAATAAAACTGTATCTTTAAACAAAGAATTAGAACAGAGACAAACATGGAGGGAAGATCCTATGAAGACATAAGATGCTGCCTACAAACCAAGGGGAGAGACCCCAGGAGAGACCTGGCCTGCAAACACCTTTATCTCCAGTTTCCAGCTTCTGTAATCGTGAGAAAGTAAGTTTGTGTTGTTTAGGTCACTGGGTCTGTATACTAAATAAAAGCAGGCCAATAAGCACAGTCCTTAACTTACTTAAGCTTAGGGTGAGTAAACAAACTACAGTGTGTGGCACATGTCTACAATGTCAGCACTTTGCAAGCTGACATAGGACAATTGTGAGTTCAAGGCCAACATGGGTTTCAAGCCCTTGTCAAAAAAAAAAAAAAAAAAAAAAAAAAAGGGCAAATGCCTCCTGCCAATTCCTTTGCCACACAGAGCATACACACACTGTCATATGCTAGTTGGCTGTGTGTTCCACCAGGACTGCAAGCTCCTTAAGGTCCAATACATCACTTCTGACACTCCTGATGTCCAGCATAGGATCCTACACAATAAACACATGATTATTTTCTACCTTCTACTCCAATTAAATTAAGGGAGAACAAATGAGGCTATGTGATTGCTTTCTCTCCAAATGAAGTTTGATTTATTTCCTAGAAAAACCCAAACTACAGACTAGCACACAGACTTCTCTGACATGCCAATTCACCTCTTTACCATACCTGGGTGGCACTCCTTACTGTGTAACCCACAAACCTGCATTTCCAGTTTCTGAAACCTAAAAGTATCTTCTACCTCTCCTTTACTTGGCCACTTTGTAGAGAAAGATTTATCTGGAACTATAAAGCTTTTGCAATTGGCCAACAGCCACCCTTCATCTTTCTGCAATAACCCCATAGCGATTTCAATGCATCAGCTTTTGTATGTGGATCCCTCAGAAGATCCCACCCCCCCCCCCCCCCACACACACAAAGCCCTTGTTTTCATCTGTGAATTCTTAGCACAAGGCTTGGCAGGTATCTGTCATGCATAGAAAGCTCACTAGACTTGCTCACCTTTATCTCTTCAGAGCCCTGTGGAGCCCAGCACAGGACATTTCCTCAGCTTTTTCTGAGCTTTTGTAGCTGCACTAATAATTGCACTATGACTCTGTATCTCTGCTCAAACTTCTTGAGGCTCCAGCCCCTGGCTGCCTTCTGAACAGATCCATCTCAGTGAACCCACTTGTCTTACATGGCACTTGTGATCCACACTCTCACACTTGCTTGTCTTCATACATTGCCTCCTTAGGTTGGGGTGATGCCAGCCAGGTCTCCTCAGGCAGAAAGTGATTCTCTTTCCTTTGCCCTTTGGCCACTCTCTGATACCTGTAAAGCCAGCCCTCAATCAGCTCTAGTACAGGGACAATTAAAATGGCTTCTCTAGTCATCTCCTTTTGTTGATTTTAGTGTTGACATACACAATATCCCCCACTACATAATACTGCCAATTCCTTGAGGGGTAGCTTCCATTGATTAATTTGTTTTCTCAGGATGACACTCCGTATACTTTTTACTAAATAAAAACGCTACGCTGTTAAGTGCATAGGCTGATCTAGAGTCACTTTTAAGTAAGCCAAATTTCTCCTTTAAGGTCAATATTTAGGGGTAAGGTTAAGGGTAATGATTAATTGCCAGACATGGAGGAGGGTTTTGGTGGAAATGCTAACATGGATTAACTTCTTTTCCCCCCTCTTAAACAAAGTGGGAGGATCATGAGACAAATCCAGGAACCCATGACTCAGGGTCATGCTGATGAACAATCTCCGGACTGTGCTGTAACACAGATGTCCGAGGACGCAGAGGCGGTTGGAGCTCATGCACCAACACAAAAATCCCAGGCTTCGGATGCTGCTCAGCGTCCCTCAACAGCGTCCCTGTTTTGGGCAACCTCAAGGAGTAGCTGTCTAAGCCCTTCTGCAAAGTGCTGCAGTGTGGTTCTCCAGTATCCAGGGCCTCAGGGACGCACAGTGCGTGGTTCTTTGATTACAAGGTGCGGTCTCTTCAGAGGGGCACTCAAGGTGCTCCTGACAACCAGGCCTGCTGGGCGATGGAAACCCCGACCCACGAGTAGGCTGCAGGGAGGTCTTGTGCGATAGGTCCCTGGGCGAGGAGGCTCTTTCTCAGGGTGGAGGGAGAGGCAGGGTCTGCACGGGCTCA